CAGTAAAGGAGAAACGGGGTTGGTAGTTCAAGGTCTACACAAGGTTACTTTCCAAATAAGGAGCTCTGAGAGTGATGGGCAGAGTCAGGGAAGCCAGAGAGAAGTAGAGATACAGGGCTCTAATGGAGCTAAAGACCATGGCACTGGTTAAGCCATCAGTCTTGGGCAAGAAAAGAAAATATCAATTCTTCTGGGATTGTATACTGTCTCCTAGCCTTTTCACTACCAAAGGCCGTATTTATTATTCCCCACCTCCTAAGGGTTCTAGGCTTGTCAAATATTGTCCTAATCAAGTTTAAGCATTTATTTTAATTGAAACATCAGTTATATGTAGTGCAATCAGTGTTTGATCTTAAGTATGCTGTTTAATGAATTTTTATTAACAACTTTAATATATTAATTTACTTCCCATTTTTATTACTCAAATATATATGAAATTGCCAGCCAGAACCTAGGATTATCACCGCAAGTTAATGCAATCTAGCTTAAAGTCTATCTGACACTTTAACCTGTTTAGCCTGTTTGAGGCCTTTTGAAATATAGATCCATATTAACTGATGGATCCATATCACTGTCATTGAAGAGCCCCAATATCCCAGGACTCCGAGTGAGTAAAGTGAATCAGTCAGCTGTGGGAAGAGATGGCCAGGAAGAATAGGACCACTGTCAGACTTGGGTCTCTCTTCTGCTTGCTTGTTGTATATATTCAAAATATACAACATGATGTTTTGATATACACATGAATAGTGCAATGGTTCTTATGGTCAGGAAAATTAATATGTCCATCTTCTCACATGGTTACTTTTTTTGTTTTGGCAAGAGCATCAGCAAAAATCCTGAATACAATATTATTAATTATAGACCTCATGTTGAACATTAGATCCCTAGACTTGTTCATCCTATCTGCTACCTGTATCTCCTCATCTCTGCCTCACCACCGGTAACCACTGCTTTAATCCCTCTATCTGTGTATTTGCCACCCCCCCGCCCCGATTCCACATATAAGTGATCATGCGGTACATTTCTCTCTACACTTGGCCTATTTCACTTGGAATAATGTCCCCCTAGGTTCTACCATGTTGTGTAAAATTGATCTTTTTTTAAGTCTGAGAAATATTTTGCATATATACTACATTTAAAAAATCCATTTATTCATTAATAGGCACTTTGTCTCTGTTTCTTGGCTATTGTGAATAATACTGCAAGGAACGTGAAAGTGCAGATATTTCACGAGGTGGTTATTTCATTTCCTTTGTGTTTATACCCAGAAGTGGGATTGCTGTGTCATATGGTAGTTCTATTTTTAATTTCTTTAGGAAACTTCATACTGTTTTCCATAATAGTTGCACAATATACCCTCCCACCAACAGTGTACAATGATTCCCTTTTCTCCACACCTTTACCAACACGTGTTACCTCTTGACGTTTTGCTAATAGCCACCCTAATAAGTATTAAGTAATATCCCTTTGTGGTTTTGACTTGCAAGTCTCTAACAATTAATGATGTTGAACACATTTCTGTTTAGGTTTTTGCCATAGGGCACATGTGTTCACAGGAGAAAGACACAGAGAGCGAGAGAGACATTTAAGGGAACGTAAGAAATCACCCTCTAGGGCAATGGCCACACTGCAATCACTCCTCCTCCATTCTCCTCCTGGGATTTTGGACACGCACACACAGGTGACCAGTGTGACTTTCAAGACACCATGTCTGGGACTCGAACAGGGGTCGGCCATGTGGAAGTCCAGCACTTTAACCACCACACCAGTCGTTGGCCCCAGAACATGTTTTTATATATCTGTTGGCCGTTTTTATGTCTTTTTTTTTTGAGAAATGTCTACTAAGACTTTCTCAAAACCATTGACCTAGCCATCAAAATTGATTCTTCAGAGTTGAGCTAGAAGAAATATGATCATATTAGTTCTCCACAATAATAAAAACCCCAAAATGATTCTTTTTAAAGAGATTTTTGCTATAGAGTGTGTGTGCTCACCAGAGAGTCGAAAGTGAGAAATCACCCCCCAGAGGGGATGGCCATGCTATAATCCCTTCTCCTTTGTTCTCCTCCCAGCATCTTGAGCATGCACACACATGCACCCAGCATGAATTTCAAGCCACCGGTCTGGGATTTGAACCGCGGTCAACTATGCAGCCATTAGCAATGTTGCCATTACACCATCTGCTGGTCTCTCCTCCCCCCAATAATAATTCCTAACAGATTTTGAGGTTAAGTGTATGTTATATATGTGTCTGGATATGTAGTGCTATGGAGGAATTATTATGTTTTAGGTTTGATCACCATGGGGTGGTGTATTTAAAAAGAGTTCTGGCCCAGCTGCAGTGCCAAAGGTAGCAAAGTCTCACTCTGCAATGCTAGAGCCCATGGAAGACTGCAATTCAGATCATGGTCGCCCTAATACACGCTGGGTACGCCATGCATACACCCTTGATCCTGGCTGGCTAGAAGGCTGAGGCAGATCACAGCACGAACTTGTTGAGCATACCTGTGTCTCTCTCTTTCACGAAAGAAATAGATAAGGGAGAGAGAGCTTACCTTTTAGAGATATATGCTGAAATATTTATAGATGATATGATATCTGGGATCTACTGCAAAGTAATTCCAGGTGACAGTGGGGGTAAAAATGCAATATGACTGGCCTGAGTTGATTATTGTTGAAGTTGGTATAAGGGAGTACATTATACTGTTCTGTCTACTTTTATTTATTATTTACTTTTTGCTAAAGGGAGCATGTGCTTACAAGAGAGAGAGAAAGCACCTCACAACAGGGTCAGACCTTTTTCCTCCATTTCCCCATCTCTTCAGGATTTTGAGCATGCATCCACATGTGCCCACTGTGTTTTTCAAGGTTCCAGACCAGGATTGGAACTGCTGTTACCCATTGTGAAATCCGGCTCCCAACAAACAGCATCTAACTAGTGCACTGCAAGGCCAGGCCTCTATGCTTGCATATATGTTAGAAACTTCCCACAATGCAAAAGAAAATTTGAAAGAAAGGAGTAATCAAATTAGATTTTCAGTGAGGGCTAAGTTGCATTTAACAGAGACCTTTCTATTGAAGTTAAACAAGAGAGAGTTAATACTGGGAATTAAGAGCCTATAAACTTGTTTAAATTGCTGGCAGAGCAGGCACTATGCTAGGCCTCTAGGAATAAGTACCAGGGCAAAAATCATCAACTGCTTTCTAAGGTTAACTGCTACTGATACCTCCATCAGGAAGTCAGGAAACTAGAAAGCCTTGGTCTTAACTGCTTGCTCCAGAAACATAGCACTTGGGCCAAATCTGATGATCAGGAATCACAGCACCACTGTTGACTCCAGGGGCTACCTGCTGCACAAGCTCAAGCTGTTCCAGCAAAAAGGGTACCTGGCTCCTGCCACCGCTGCTTTCTGATTGGTGGAATAGAAATTATAACTAGAACCCTGGCTACAAAGGAGTGTGGGAAATGTAGTTTGCAATTTTCTTTCCTTTGCAGAATCAGACTAAAATGAGGTGGGGACAAATAATGAGTGGGCCAACCCACCACAAAGTATTAGCAGTTAGTATATTAGTACTGCGCCCGGTACAAGTAATGCCCTCCTTATCCCTCAAGCTAATCTTACCTATTTTTAGACACAGTTCCAAGTTCTCTTTATAAAACCTTTCCTGATCTTTCATCCTTTCTCCTTTCCTTCCTTCTCCCCTTCATTCCTTCATACATGCATGCACATATGTTCTATGCAGTGTGGGTACTATCATGCAAATGTTTTACAGTCCACTGCCATTGTACATGGGCATGGCTTTGCTTGCTTAAAGAGGCTCTGCGTGACTTAAAGTCAGATGGTTTCTTTGTCTATCCTCTCCTTTGACATATAACACCATGCAGAAAAAAGAGTGATTTTATGTTTTTTTACATTGTTATCAGTAAAATGTATCAATAAGCATATCAAGATAATAACACTGTCTTAAATACCTCACAGTTTGTGATATTGATTGCAAATGTTCTTTGTGAAGTAAACTGCCACTTATAACCTATTATACATGTTGGAAGATAATAATTATGGTTGAGTTAACATCAGGATCTTCATGTGATGACCCTAATCTGTCTTTTAACTAATTCTATAGTCTAATGATCACATCTATCTTTCAATGAAATTATAATCCTTTGTTTCTTGAGTTGTCTGTACTTACTACCTCTGCGCTGTTCACCTTCTGTTGGGACTTGTTTGGCTGAACATGTTTTTTTGAGTGGAGAAGGCTGTGGATTAGAAATAAACGCAATAACAAATGCAAAAGACAGACAAGTATTGACAAATGAGGATTGGGTGGGCCCAACTTCTCTGATAGAGAAGTTGTGACCTGAACTGGCCTCAGGAGGTTTATTCTTTTAAAGGGCAAAAAATGGGGTAAGAGGAAATGGAATGTAAAGCCAGTTGTTTTTGGATGTAAATTGTTTGAAAATGTGAAAACAACTGGCACCATGTAATTTCTCTAATTTTGGGGGAGCCAAATGTAATAAACAAATGTGGCTTCCTTTAGCCTCATGCTGCCCTGCAGTATCGAGTATCCAGTATCAACAAAATTAGGCAAATAGCGTTTTGGTGTGTAAATGTTCTCAATAGCCATTGTTTAAAAAGCTTCCAAAAGCGCGTTTTTGTATGTGTCTAAAGATCACACGTTTTCTCAGATTGGCTGCTCTCCACAACCTTCCACTGAGAAGCCTTGACTCAGGCACTGCCTCCCCCTGTCAGTCTCCTCTCTACCTCTCTACCAAGCAGTCTGAATGTCCAGCAGTAAAGGGCTGGTTGTCAATTTCTGGCACAAGCAGTTAGTCAGGCATCAGCAGTAACGGTGTAGACCTATATTTAGTGACATAACTCAGGTTAGGGAAGATATCTTATTAAGTAAAAGAAATATGTTTTAAAGACTCGATGCTGGCAATGATTTATACCTTGGTAGGTGTCTATGTATATTTTACTTGTACTCGTTTTATTTAACAGATATTTATTGAGTGTCAGTGGTGTGCCAGACGCTCTATCTATGTGCATAGGACAGCCCTGGAAGGCCATAGGACAGGATGCGTGCAGTGGTCATCTCTGCTTGCTGAGATAACAGGTGTTCTTTTTTCTCTTCACTTGTTATACTCTATTCAAAAACTCGTGTTTTCTACAGAAATCTATGTTATGTGTTAATAAGGAACTGGTACAAGTGGGGTCTTCAAAAATTCAGGAAAATGAGTATTATGTAAAAGCTAAGCCTGGAATTCTATTTTTAATTTTTTTACACTGAAATAAACTCATACTTAAATTCCATTTTCCCATGAACTTTTTAAAAGTTTTTGTTTTTGTTTTTGTTTTTTGTTTTTCTCATAAGAGAAAGAAAAAGAGTTGGAGCGCCACTTAACAGGGTGGATCCTGAGGCTATGATCCACTCGCAGCCTTAGCCAGCCCCAGATCATGGGTAAGCAGGGACCTGGTGTACTCAGAGAGGCCTCCAGGCTTGAAATAAGAACCTTCCTGGTGGGTCTGCCTTACAAAACATTGCATTTTACCACGGACTCATCATTTGACCCTTCTGCAAACTTATTGAAGTCCCCTTGTATTTTTTTTTAAACACTTACAATAGAACACTCCACAAAAAAATATAAGCTAAAAACAATCTGAGGAACCAGTAAATGGTGTAATGGTTACATTGCTGGACTCCTATGTAGTTGACCATAGTTCGAGTCCTGGGCCCAGTGGCTTAAAACTCATGCCAGGTATGTGTGCATGCATGCCCAAAATCCTGAGAAAAGAATAGAGAAGGGATTGCAGTGTCGCCATACACCCTGGGGGGTGATTTCTCACTTTTTGTTTCTCTTTCTCTCTCTGTCTGTCCAACAAGTGAATGTGCCCTGTCAAAAAATCTCTCTCAAAAATAAATAAATAAATATGATCTGAAATCCCTGATGTTAGAGTAAAAAAAGAGGGAGAGAAGGGGGGAGAGGTAGAGGAGGAGGTAGAGATGGAGAAAGAGAAAAGAAAGAAAAAGAAAAGAAAAAGGAAAGAAGGAAAAGGAAGAAAAGCAGGAGGGAAGAAATGCATCAAAATCTCAACAGTGGGGACCCACAGGTGGTTAAAGTGTTAGACTCCCACATGACTGACTGTGCTTCTGTTCTTGACCTGGCAGCTTGAAGGTCACACCAACCACATATATGTACCCAGAATCCCAGAAGGAGAATGGAGAACAAGGGATTGTAGCATGGCCTTCCATCCTAGGGGTGATTTCTCATTTTCCACTCTCACTGTCTCTGTCTCTCTGGCAAGTGCACACGCCAAATGACAAAAATCATTAAGAAAAAAAAATCTAACAGCAGTCCAGTTTGGGTGTGGAACTTTTTTTTTTATTTCCCACAATGTCTCTTCTAAAGAGTCTATGGAGTTATCTCAGATCCCTGATTCTGACATTTTTCTAACTTTTTGAATGTCTTCATTTAGCATGCAATAAATATTTGAGAAATTGAACAAGCAGTATTTTCCAAGTGTGGCCTCAATCAGGTGTCACTTAACTTTCTTAATTTTTTCTTTCATTTTCTAGTTTCCATTGTCAAGAACACAGATTTCAGAGAGGCTGTATTATGACAAAAATGTGCCCTCTGTGACTAACTTACACGGCTGTCTGCCTACTACTGACCTAACCTTAGTGGCTAGTGCTTCCTCTGTTCTTTGTAGCCTTTTGCCTTTTTGTCCATGTCTTTATATATATGTGTGTTGTCTGTACACATACACATTTGCTACAAAAATTTAAACTCAAACAGCAGGTTCCAGATCTATTATTACTCATCCTTCCTTCATCTTAGCAACTTTTTATCTGATACCCTATTTTCTTCTAGTTTTAGAGAGAAAAAGACTCCTTAACCCAGATGGAAAACACTGTCCACTGAAGTAACTTTCTGTCAGTCTGTAGTGTCACTTCCATAGCCTTCGAGGGAGTCATACAAGAGGGAATCAGAGTGGGAAGACAGAAATTATACAGTCTAGCCTGTTTAGACAACTTTCATCAAAAGGGGCCAAGAGGTGACAAGGGTTCAACCAATTCATTGCATTTCAGCTTTTGTGAAGTAAAGGCATATAGTAAACATTGCTGCTGTGTGAAGGCACTAAAAGCAGTTAGGGTGGACCATTCTCCAGCTCTCTGCCCTCTAGAAGAATCATCCTAAGACTGGAAGTCACAGGTCTCTAATTTCCCTGTCCTGACTTCCTGCCTTCTAGGAGAGGCCTTGCCTTGTAGGAAGGATGAGGTTCCTTGAACTCAAGGTATTAGAAAGTATTTATGTTGCAAAAGTTTATTTTGTTTTTGTTTCTTCTATGATGTGTGTGTGCTCTCCAGAAAGAGAGAGAGAGAGAGATTCTCCCCAAGGGAGGATGGCCACTCCCCCTCTCCTCACTCTCCTTTCGGGATTTTGGGCACACATGTACACACTAGCATGACTTTCAAGCCACTGGGTCCAGTACTTGAACTGCACAGTTGGCCATGTGCGATCCAGCCACCTTAATCTCCACACCACCTGCTGGCCTTGTTGTGGAAATTTTAAAGAACCCTGAAATCAGCGAAGTTTTATTCTAAACAGGAGAAGGAATAAATGAAAATGAATAATACGTTGGCTAGGTGTAGAAAAATAAGAGAATTTTGAAAAAGTGTCATTCTAGGGTACTTTCTCTGGTCCTTAAAATAGTGCTAATTAGTAAAATGCCTCTTGGACACATTAGGATGCTCAGATGGACACAAAGAAGTTTTGACATTCTTTCTCACTTTTTTTTTTTTAAAAGCTTTTGCTATAGGGCACTTGTGCATGCTGGAGAGGGAGGGAAGGTGAGAAATCACCCCTCAGGGGAAATGGTCAAACCTCAATCCCTCATCCTCCATTCTCCTCTCAGAATTTTGGGCATGCACACACATGCACCCAGCATATTTTCCAAGCTGACAAGTCTGAGAATCAAACCATGCAGTTGGCCATGTAGGATCCAGCTACCTCAACCACCATACCACAGGGTGGCTGTGAAGTTTTGACTTTTTTTTTTTTTTTTTTTTTGAGAGATTTTTTGCTATAGGGCACGTGCGCTTGCCAGACAGACAGAGAGAGACATAGAGACAGAAAGCGAGAAATCACCCCCCATGGGGGATGGTCACGCTGCAATCCCTTCTCCTCCATTCTCCTCTCAGGATCTTGGGCATGCACACACACGCGCCTGGCCTGAGTTTTAAGCCATCGGGTCCGGGATGCGAACCGCGGTCGACTATGTGGGAGTCCAGCGACATAGCCATTACACTAACTGCTGGTTCCCAAGTTTTGACTCTTAACTAGGTTACAATCTTCATGTGGAATTCATGATCAGACCAAAGATCAGAACATTGTTCAAGGGGGATTTGCCATTGGAAGGAAGTACCAAATAAATCTTGACATTCTGCTTCATCCCATCCCCATCACTTCACTGACAGCCACTGACTGAGGCTCTCACGCACGTATAGACTTGCTCTTAAGGTTGCTTTCACTTCTGTGGCCACCTGCTTTTTAAATTTGTGGTGCAGTGCCTCTGAAAATC